GGGGGTTCTGTGCATCGCTAGAGGACCCCAAATCCGGGCTCTCCTTTCTTTTTTCGAGTGTTGGCTGTCAAGGGAGGGAGAAGGGGGTATGAATTGGTTTTTAAGGGGCTAAAGGGGGTTCAATTCCGTTTAAACCACCACTACCTTTCACAGTGTAGTCCCAAGTGGGAATATGACCAATACCGCATTCTTCGGGGACCGGGCCGCCGTTGGGCCACCGTTGATAATAAACTTCAACGGCGGTCTTAGTTGCGTTCCTGGCCCCGGGCTTCTGAAACTTGCGGGGCCTCGCCCACAGCCGATGTATGGGAAAGGTAGTAGTGGTTTAAAGGGGGGTGCCTTAGTGTGATTCTGTTGTTTTCTTTTTGTATCTTCGATTCTGTGAGGAATTCTGATGTGACCCTCAGCCAAAAGTCGTTTGTATTGCAATTCTACACAACATGTTGTTGTTGTTGTTGTTTTTCTGGATTATTTTTTTTCTTTTTGCCCGGGGCTCATGTCTGGCTGGGCACCCAGGCGTGCATCCGGGCACCAGTTGGGTGGTTGGGCGCCCCGACAAATAGCCTAGCAAGATCTGCACGTCAGGCAAACTCACACCAAGCTATAAACCCTCGTTGATGGGAGGGACAACAATGGAAAGCTTAATAAAAAAAACTGAGTAAATCTGGATTTCGTGATCACAAGGGTAAACCACATGCCAAATTCGACAGAGTCGGTGAACTTGGACTTAAATATTACAAAGATTCTTGAAAAATAAATCAGATTCTACAAGGTGTTTGTATTACTTTGTAATTATTATAGTTTTGCACATAAGTGTAACAAGCTGCGTCACATTTCGGTAGAACACAGACGTGAAAAACATAACCCCAAGCCATGACCCCTCTGTACTTGGTCTGCCTGCTAGCCGATACAGGCTTGTCAGGGGCATAATACAGGATGCCACCTCACGGTGTATACTCAGACTCTGTACCTTTTTTTTTTTCCCCACATGGATCTGGCTTTTTTAACTGTGTAGAAGTCTATCAAGGAAAATGCCCTAATTGAGGCTAATTCTTTTGTTCTTTCCCCCCCCAATTGAATTGGACCAGTTCTAAATTTGTGTGTCATTCTTTCACACAGGGGCCATGCTAATTTCCTCTGTATCGTTCCGATTTTAGCGGATGTCAGGAAGGACACATACGTCATAATGCTTCCTTTTTTTTTTTCTTTTTTTTTTCCCCATATGCCCTAATTCTTCTCCCTCATAGCGCAAATGGCCATTTTGCCCCTCCCTGCAAACTGCAGGGCCTGACGCCTGTTCATGGGCATTTTGCCCCTCCCTGCAAACTGCAGGGCCTGACGCCTGTTCACAGAAACACTACCACAGGTCAGCTTTGACTCAGTGAAGCGCATAGCCCATTACGGTGACCTACAGCCCGATTCGACTCTACCTTTTTTCAACCCCCCCACAACCTTTTTCGGTTTATGCGTGTCATCCTTCCACAGTCTTTCCTATACTTCTGGATTCTGATGGTTGTTGTACGCTGCTCAGGGTTCCGACTCCCAAGGGTTCCAAGGGTCTCAAAGGAGGGTTCCAAGGGTCTCAAAGGGTTCCACGGGTCTCAAAGGAGGGTCCCAAGGGTCTCAAAGGGTTCCAAGGGTCTCAAAGGAGGGT